GGCACTCTGATGCATAAAGGTGATTATGGGGTGTTGAACAAGCAGTGTTTGAGAATGTTGAAAAGCAAGAAAGAGTACGATGGACTATTATGGGCTGTCAATAGTTATGTGTATCAATGACAGAAGAAACAAGCATTTAGGTGGGGAAACTTTGGGTTACTTGTATTCAAGCATTCAAGTTATCATTGTCTCAATTTTGATTTTCAATTTAACCTTATATATTGGCATATAAGCGCGCGCATGTATATATATAATTTAGGCTTATCGCTTATCGGTCAATTGGCCATGCTTAAGATAAAATCCTTGTAGGCCATATAGATATGGTGCAAAAATAAAGTGCTAAAATTAGAAATATCATTTAACTGCAAAATTGATAACATATAATGATCTCTTGATTGTCAAGGATTACCTTTAAAGTAAACTGTCTTCTTTTTCATTTAGTCTAAGGTTCTGTCCAGCCGTCTCATGGATGATGTGACACATTTTTTAATGAAAACTATTGATTTAGGCATGCAGCACTAACCATCACTGATAAGGTTCCTTTGTTCTAATGAATGTTAATACTTTAAAAATTATTGTATTGCTCGTGTCTTTTTATCACCATTTAAGCTATTATCCTATAAAATAAAGAGTTCTTAGTAACTTGCACTAATTAAGTTGTAAATAGTATGATTCATTTTTTAAATTTTCTATAATGCATTTGTTGAATGTTTATTTAGTAATTGGTTGTTGTTCTATGTATTGAATAGAGACTAACATGCCTGGTTATCCATTTCCAACACACGTTTATATAGTTGGTGGAACAATTGCTGTATATAATTTTATTAGAAAAAAATTTGTAATTAATTATGACTTTTGGCGTTTTAAAAATGAAAATATGAGTAACTCTAGTAATAATAGTAACGATAAAGCATCTCCATTGTAAATCTCAAGTATAGGTTCAAGTGTAGCTTTTAATAGAGAGATGAATAAAATTCATTATTCAAATTGCACATTATAGATCAAACAATTAATCGTGTTAATTTTTAATATTAATGAATGTTGGACTATTTATTTATATAGTTTCTTTTGATAACATATCAAATTTTATATTTTTTATTCTTATTATTTAACATATCAAATTTTACACCATCCAAAAATTTTATTGCATTTTCAAAATATTTTTAATATATTGGATTTGTATAACAAAAATTAAAAATTATCATAAATCAATGTCCTTTTTTTATTATTGTATATTCAAAAACACATTTTAAAAGTATAAATTATTATTAAATCGAATAACTTTTGGTTTATCATAATGACTTTTGAAAAAATGTATCCAAATATAAATTTTATCATAGCAACTAATTTTTATTAAATTAACTTTGTCAAATGAACTTTTGACAAATTTACTTTTGCTTAACGAAAAACTAAATACACACAAATGTCATATTTGGTACTATGAAATTTAGCTCATGAGAAACAAAAATTGAAACAGAATCAGACTTTCAATAGTTTAGTATACATTGATTCAAATTCTTTATGGAATCTAATTTTGTCAAAAACCCTAGGATCCAATTGCATAATCATCATGATGGAATTGGGAAAATTTCATGGAATTGTCATCATTACCCTCTCTTTCCCCTTCATCATCTATGAGTCTCATCCCCTCATTGTCACTACCTATCCATTGTCATGATCCAAGAATCCTTCTTCCCCTTGTCACAATGACCATGGCTACTAACAATATTCCTCCTGCCATCGCGATCTCAACTACTATTAAATTTGGGTCCTTAACGTTACAACTTTATCACCTTTCGAACTACTAGTACCTCCTTCACAACTTACCTCCCTATTCTTTGATTTCAACTTTTCAACATTTAAATTCATCTTTCTCCCTTGGACCAATGATTTAAGGTCTAGTTTCCATTAGCATCAATTTTAACTATCTGCAACAAAGCGCAAACATATCTTGTTCTTCCTCCTCTCGTATTGCATATGATTCTTTATTCTTTCTCGTTTTTGGTAGTTTTTGAAAATGGAGTTCTTGGTTTTGTAAAATTGGTCATTTGGACAAAGTAATTCAGGTGTTAGCTGTAATGATGGAGTGGTCAACAACAGCTTAAAAATGGGAAAGGTTTTGGGTTTGATAGGAAATATTTAAAATTTATTAAGGACATTTTTGTCTTTTTATAATATAAATATAATTATAAAATTTAAAATTATATAAAATTTTAGTTTATAATAAATACACTTTTAAAATTCAATACTATTTCAATTTTAATTCACGCTTCAATTTCATTAAAAAAAAATTTTATCATTCCAAACAAGGAATTAATGTTTAAAAACGGATATAAGAATCGTTGGGGCCCGCAGCCCAGCCTGGAATACAGTTAGGTCTATGGCGGACTCAATCACGTGACGGTGACATCATAGCGGCATCGTTGTGGGCCTACTTACACGTGGCGCATTGTGGCGCGCAAAAAGTCTCTTTTACTGGTCATTTGCGGAGTCTGGCGCGAAACCAGAACCGTATGAGGAATCAGCTTGGAATCAGTGTGGGGCCCGCAAATGCTTAGTTGTCGATCGTTAAAAAGGCCTAATTCCCTCCTCAATCTGACATCACCGAATCGGCCTCAATTTCCTTAAAACCAGCGTTTGCATTGCTTGGTTTGGGGACTTGGGGCTCTGGGCTCTAGCCACTGTTTGCTTTTTTAGTAGTTATAGATGTAGATGCCGTATTTTTTTATTAATTTTATTTTTCAAAAATTCAAAGAATGGGTCATGTTTTTAAAAATTTATTAATAATTGAATTTTTATATATATATATATATATATATATAAAATAAATATTAGCATCACTCGACTATTTTATTTTTACAACTTTTCACACTGCTTCATCAAAATATCGAAAACATCCATTTCCCCATTTGAAACATAATTGATGCAATTCTTCGATAAATTAAGTTGATTAATTATTGAAAATAAATTTCTATTATAGGGATTATTTCCTTAAATAAACATTTATTTCACTCAATTCATTTAAATTCAGGAAAAAATCATTTAAATCCCAATCTTAATTCTTAACCTCTTTGTTCATATAATGGTAAAAATATTTTTTTGCATGGAGGGGTGATTGGTTTGAATGATCAAACGGTTATGGGGTGTCAAGTTCAAGTCTCCTAGATTAGTGTGGGCAGGAGTTGCTAATACCCCAGGTTAAAAAATATTTTTAAGTCAAGTTACTCTAATTAAGAAAATTATGACTTTGATAAAAAAGAAAAAAGGAAAGAAAATCATGGTAAGGGATCAACTGATATATAAAAAAAAAATACAGTGAAAATAATTATTTTTATAAGAGAAAATATATTTATGTAACATCTGCATGAATATATATCAAAGGTACAGAAACACTCAATAAACAAAGCAAACAACATATTTTGAGAAGGTGGAATTATGCGCAAGAGATACCAGTTGTTGATGTTACGCGTTTAATCATATAACAGTGCCAATTATAACAACTCTAAGCCTAATTGCAATCGCCTGATCCTAGTCTGGTGATAAGGTGGTTGGGGCTTCTAATACTTTGCCATAAATGCACCAATCAGAGGATAGACTCATTCAAACTTCCAATAAGGCCATCCAGGTTAATCTTTTCTTTTCTATCTCATTCCCATGGCTTTTTATCCTAATTTTAATTAAACATCCACGTAGCCCATCTTTTAGGGGATCTCAAATTTTGCACAAAGATCATGAAATTATGATTTCATTCTTTTGTTCATTTCCATTATTCGCTGATTTAATTTGTCACCATACCCAAAATTAGTATCATCATTATATAAATCACTGCTGCATTTCGCCTCTCATTTATTTATTCTTTGGTTTAGAAAAAATTGTATGAGATTCAAAAAGAGATTGAAGGTTTTTGTGATTTTGATTTGATAAGGAACCCATATAATTAACACAGAAAAAATAGGAGGTCCGTTTAATTCAAACAATTTTTTTTTGGTGAAAAAACATATGTAATATATTAAAAAATGATGCCGCTCGCACAAAAGCATTTGTAAAATTAATTAAATAAACTGTCCTGAGGGGAAAAAAAACAAAACAAAAAGAAAAGGCAATTTGGTGGCGCTTTCATACAGATACAGTTAGGATGAAAGACGTGCTGAGATGAAATTGGACTTTTTAGGAGAGGTTTTATCATGGAACGTAAAATATATTTTTTAAAAAAATATGCCATGAACCCAAACACACACACGAGTACAAAGGGGGGCCGTATGTTGTATTTTTAGACAAATTAAGAAAAGAGGATCTATGTTCTCATGTCATGCTTTGCTCCTTTAAAACGGAATGCATTTATCCTGAAAATGAGAATTGAATGAATAATGAATATGAACCAATGCATGCCAGTGCATACAAACACAATCATCAAATTTCTCTTCATTCACTAATTTTTTTTTTTCAAAGATAACCTTTAGCAAATGGCTTCATTATTTCTTCTTCGTTCCTTGTCCTTGGTGTCTTCTTAAAAGTTCAAAATCTTGATCAGCGGATCAGAGTGTTCATCATCTTGACAGAGTTTTGAAGAACGAAATTCATCAAACGCAATTGATTAGTTCTGAAAACTCGTTCTTCCTGGATATGATTATGATTTATGAGCTCTTTTCAGCAGATTGATTGCTGGCTTCTGATTAAACAAACACGAAACAACTCCCAAGAGAATATCGTAGTTCATTGTCCCAGATTTCTTTCTTGAAAACTTTTGAATTATTAGTTTGACAATGAACTCTCCGGTCATTTTCAATTTCGTACAAGCACGCCCAGCGCGAAAAGGAAAGAGAGAGAGAGAGAGAATCGAAGACCTTGATGTGTGCAGGGTATCATCAATCGGCATTGGAAGAAAACGCAGATAAGTTGGTAAATAATTTCTATACGTCAAAGAATTCGCGTGCACGTGTGTTACAGAGAGAGGGAGGAAGATAAACTGGAGAGACTTTCATATGTAAACTGCACTCAAGTCCCCACAAATGTACAATTTGGCATTAAAATATCACCAGAATCAAAAGTCATGCTCTTGCTCTCTCAAGTTTCAGCATGAGCTGGCTCGAACAACTACTGAGACTCGTCTTAGCATGATTTTCAAACCAAATCTTGATTTATAAAAATCTTTCTCAACATCAAATCACAAACAGTTTTTACTTCACAAGATTTCTTACACCCAGCATAAACTTCCAGATTTCACCATCTTTCATTACAGTTATACTTATTCCTGCGCACACAGACTAGATTATTGATATTTCAGACAATTTATATATGGTATCTGAGGGGCTCTTTCTCCGTCATCCTCTCTTCACCATCTTCAGAAGCTGGCTTTTCTTCTTTCTTAAATTGGAACTCAGTAAGTCCACAAGGTCTCATAGTCCATTCCTGCAGATAAAGCATTTGGCAGCTGCTGCTGCTGATTGTTAACGGGTCTCCGAGCCATATCAAGACTTGACACGACCGAGGAGATTTCGGGGTTCATGTCGGTGGTAAGACCTGTTTCTTGCGATACACTGAGCATCTCCCTCCCGGGTTTGAAATTGTTCCTGTTTGATTCCTGGTTTTCGAGCAAGGCTCTGAGGATGGTCTGGTCTTGCAGGCCATAGATAGAGCTGGGTAAAGCTAAACTTGAAGGAGCTTGATGTGGCTGAGAGGAATATAATGAACCGGAAGGTGGGATCCTGGGAAGGTTGTCCGAGGGATTCGAAGAAACCCCATAATTAGGGACGTCGCTGTAGGAATCAAAGATACCTCCTTGGTTGTTTCTCGGAGCATTGATTGGATTGGAGAAGCAGGGCACGTAAGCCGATTCTGTGACGGGTTTGCCAGGGAAAGGTGACGAATCTGTCAATGGAGGTAAACCAGAAGAACCCAATTCATTTCCCAGAGAATCCAGCCTCATCATCCCAGATATATGGGTTTTCTTACCGCTCGAACCTTTTTGAAAAACCCTGCATATCACCCACTCAACCTGCAAAAACAGGATCGTAATTCATGACCCCTTAGCATTGGATTCAGACACGAGAGAAATCGAACAGAACAAAGACTCGAAGACTGTGCGTGTACACATACCTTTGCGGTTTTAGGGAGGTTGTGGACAGAGAATTTACCCTCTAATCTGTATTCGTGCATCACCCAGTTGGTTTTCTCTCCTTTGGGTGCCCTTCCTCTGTAGAAAACCAGAGTTTTCTTCATCCCGACCAGCGATTTGCCTCTGTAAATCTCTTTATCTTTCCCGGTGGCTTTCCAGTATCCTGTTTCAGTAGCCCTGTTGGTTCTCAAACCAGTCGGGTATTTGCGATCTCTCACGCAAAAGAAGTACCACTCTTTTTCTCCCATTTTGGCTTTCCCTACACCCAGGAGAATCAACGAAACAAAAACATAACTTTCTGTAGCAATAAATCAAACACAAGATGGTCGTGAAAGAGTTGAATTGGTCTAACTTACATGGCAAATCCCAAGGCTCGGACCTGTTCAAGTCGACATCCCCAATGGCCCTGGCTGAGAAGTTGGAATCAGTGACCTTCTTGTACAGGTAATGACTTATAAGCTCTTCATCAGTAGGGTGAAACCGAAACCCAGGAGGCAAATTCATTTTGTCTTGTTCCTTACAGAGTCCTGAAACGTTTTCCATTTCTGGAGCTGCACAAAATTCAGTAGTTAGAATTCGATCAAAGAAACTAAGAATTCAAACCAGGAAGGGTGATGATCTTAATTGGTGAAGAAGGTCAAACCGGGGGAGTTTATTATATAGGCAATCTGGGAGCGAGGTTGAGGAGAAAACCCAGAGAAAGTGCGGAGAGAAAAGGGAGGGATAAGGACGAAGAGGATGAAGGAAGTAAAAAGTTAGGGGGACGACGAAGGGAAGGATGGGGATGTTAATGGAAGAAAAAAAGCAGAGAGAAAAAGGTTTGCCTAAATACTGGGCGTTTGGGTGGAAAGAAACGTGAATCGCAACGCAACCTGGTTAGTTGTTTATAGCCCACTTCCCTCACCTTTCGTTGCATTTTAAATTTTTCTTTTTTTGTTTTTTCCCCCCTCATGGGCACTGCCATGCTTGGGATTTCAATCACCTAGCAAGGACTATATTGTAATTTCGCTTTTTCTCCAACATCATGCTCGTATAATAATACTGGGAAAATGCGGGTAGAAGAACCTTGAGACCCAAAAATTTAAAGAGTGTTGCAATAAAGTCCTTACAAAAGTCTACAAAATTCAAAGCTAGCAGCATGAAGAGTATTGAAGACTTTTGTATGTATTTGCAAACTTGTAGAAGAAAGTTATAGATACGTGTAGATCGTGAAAGGTTTTTCAAGAAAAAAATTGTCATTTTATTCTGAAAAATTTACATGTTTCATTAATTCTTATAATACCATAACAACTTTTCATATAAAAAAAAAAACCCGAGAAATCAATGCACCTAAATTTGGTTTTTCAACAAAAATATACCATTTTATTACAAAATAATCTATATAGTCGGTTAATTTTCGAAATAAGATGACAAGTTTTTGAAAAAAATTTGAGAGCCTTCAACATTTCTCAATAGTTTGCAAATTGTTCCACGAGTTTGCAAGTATTAATAAAGCCTTCTATTTCAAGTGCTCTTTGAGATTCTTCAAAACTTTTCAAGAAAATTTTCTCAAAAAGTCATGATCATATTTTAAAAATTAATCAAGCATGTAAACTTTTTAAAAAAAGATGGTACAATTTTCCTGAAAAATCGAAGTCAGGTGCATGAGGCCTTTGGGTTAATTATTTTCCATGAAAGCTTGTCATCCTATTTTGAAAATTGACCAAAAATTAACCAAGAAAATAACTTTTTCAAAATAAAATGACACGTTTCCTGAAAAACCCAATTTAACATCATCAAGTTACTACTTTGAGGGCATTTTTGTCTTTTTGTTTATGAACATATTGACACTAAAGGAACCAAAATGGCAGAAAATATTTCCACTGGACTAAGGACTTTTGCCCAAATATTTGGGCTCATGGTTCTTCTTGCAATTTTCTCTGCAATATTATGTAGTAATTTCATTTTCGTACATAGTTCTATGTGAATACTTACATAAATATTATATTATAATATTTGATAAAAATGAATATTACAAATTTAAATTTAGTAAATTTTTAAAATACAATTGAGTTTATTATAAAAATAAAATTTTATATGGAGAAGAATAACTGAACTAAATAATTTATATACTTGTTCATAAAAATGTGAGGAAGTGTATTTAAGAGATCGTTTTAATAAAAAAAAGAAAAATTAATCTGCAAGTATTTATTTATTTATTTTATTTTTAATTTGATACTTATAATTTACTTTCTTTTAATAAATCTCTTATAATGTGATCAATAAAATATATTAATTTTAAGAATTAAAATTTTTAAATTTTTTCTCTTAAAAAAAACTATACACTTTTATATTTTTATCAAAAAAGTATATAAATTTAGAATTAATTATATAATTTTTATAACTCAAAATTTATATAATTGGAATATATTTTTAAATACATTATATATATAATTTTCACAAAAAATTAATAAAAATGTAAACATTATAGTGAATTCATTATTTTTTTCTTTTCTGGCTAAAAGTAATAAATCAATTTTTCTTTAAATTTTATAAGATTATTTTTTAGAAAAGTTGATCATCCATTAATAATTTTAAAGGATTAACATATTTAATTGATCAAACTATAATTTTTTTAAAATAAAATAAGTTACATGAACTTAATTCAAAATTGATAAAAATTAGAAGGATTTACAGATTAATTTTTTAATATAAAATACAAATAAAAATAATTTAAATATTTTGACGATACATCAAGTGTTATATAAACCATCTATTTCTTGGTTCTTTGGGAGAAAAATTATGTTTATATGTTTAGCCACCTATTTATTATCTTCTTATTAATTAATTAATTATTACCATATCAAATAATTTTAATGGTTGTCAACAACCTTCGTGATTTTTTAATTTTACATATCTTTCAATTTCTGTTTGACAACGTTGTACTGTGTCATTTTTTGTGAAAATTTTCTGTATGTTTAGTATTTATTGATGAGATGTACACGTATATAAAAGTGAGACATACTTTGATTACTTTATATATAGAATATTCTCTATCTGGGGAGGGTAAAGCACCGGGTTTTAATAACTGATAATGATAATTATTAAATGCGAAAATCTCAAATGAACAAAGAACAGAATATTATCTGGTTTTTGTGTTTTGAATTTGTTGGAGCTCACAAAAGAGCATTTGAGAAGCAAATATTCGTCTTTAATTTCTCCATTCGTGAATCCAGTTGTGTGAATGCCAGGAATGCTTGGAAAAGGGGAAAATTATCCCTACGAACTAAATTTCTAAATCAATTATTATAAAGGACTCCAAATAAATGAAATTATTATAATCGACCAAGCTAAGTTCTCTCACCCCCTTATGAAAGGGCAAATTTTATAAGGAAAATGATTAATTATTCGCCATTTCATACATGACTCGAGGTAATTTAAAACAAAAACCTTACGTCTAAGAATTTATAAATAAAACTATTGATATCATGACTAAGGATACAATCGCAAACAGGGGCGAGGCCATATAAGATAACTACAAGGAGAGTTGGGATTAAAAAAAATATACATTACAAAGTTTTATTCATAAATCTTGAAAGACAGAGTATATAAACATCTACTCATTTAATACTGAGAACAATTTAAAATTTTGAAGAATTGTGGCGCTTGCTGATTCCCTCATTCCACCCTTAATCGGAATTTAATGCATGTTGAATGTTAATGATTAGAGTGTAAGTTGTAAATATAACTAGCTTTAGTTGTAAATAGCACATGCCTTTTGTAATAGATTTCACTTAATCTAGTTATTGTTGATTTAATGAGTAATTTCAAAAGTAAAAAGGTTTCCACATTAACAACTCACAATTCAATAGTAAAATAAATCAATCATACAACGCCCCTTTTAAAATAAATAGATATTGGCATTAAAGAAGGGTAAAAATAAATAAATAAATTGGGACCTTATTTTTCTCAGTGAGCGTACATTATCAGGTAAAAATATTTCATAAGAAATAATAAAATTAGATAAAATACTAAAAAAGAAAAATTTTACAAAAATTTATGACTTTCAATTTTAGGGTATTTAATAAATACATCTTTTAATATGTGTGTGTATACAACAACAAAAAAACAACAACAAGCCTTTATCCTACTAGGTGGGGTCAGCTACATGGATTGCAAGACGCCATTGTGCTCTATCATTTATCAAGCTTTTAAAAATATTATTAATATGTGTGTATACATTTAAATAAATTTTATTCAGCTCCACCTGGTATGTTATCAAATTGATCAAGATAAATACGCGAATATAGAAGAATTTTGGGGTTATGATCATTAAGGTTGTTGGCTGAACGAGTTACAAAAACTATGGGCCAATTGGTTGGTATTTCATTCACAAGCTAATTTGTACACTCCACAAAGCAAAAAGAGCATAACAACTTGGCCTTTTTTTTGGTTTTTCCCCTTTGAAGTCACAACAACTTGGCTTGTATGTTTGTGCGCATAATTAATGTTTGCGTATTATTCATGCTAATTAAATTTTAGAGTAGATAAGCTTGATACAAAATTAATGATGCAACAATGATACTAATTATGTCAGATCAATTATTAATAATTGTAATCACGCAATTTAATCATTATAATTATTCGGGGCGAACATACATCTGAAAGGACCAAAGCTTGGAAATAAAAAAATGAAGCGAATCAAACAAACTGATAATAAATTTGATTCCAAAATCTAAAACATCATTAATTAAATTAATAGATACAGAATCCATACATTGCATCAAGTCTAAAATGAATGCAATATTCATGATATTTAAAAAAGTGGGAATTTTTGTAACTCCCTTTTGGGGGTCCAACTATTAAAAAAATAGTGTACGTGAATTTTTATATCCACATGTATTGGGTTATTGGCGACTACATCGACTTCAACTATAGTCCAGCGTTTACATTATTATTAGTACAAAGAACACAATTATATGTGAAAGCATTGTTGTCTCTCTTCGTGGGTTGAATTCTTTATATATATATATATATATAGCTGATCTGATGTTATTTATTTCAGCGCGAACTTATTAAAATAAAATGTTTATATGCTTAAAACTAATGATCAATGAAAACCTCACACCACGCAATTCTTTTTTTAATAAAAAAACTTTAAATTGAAATTGTCAACAGCGCTTTCATTAACGAGACTTAAAATTTAAGCGTTTTTTAGGAGTTTTTAATGGGACAATTTAATTGTGCCGTTGGGCCTCTAGGCCATTACATAGGGTTTTTGTATATTAAAAGAATTACTTACAGCAAGTCAATTATTGGAATTCGTAATTCAATTGTCAATACTCAAAGTAATTATTTTCAAAAAAAAAAAAATCTTGTAGTATTTAACTGTATCGCACTTAAACATAATCCTCGCATGAAAAAATGCACACGTATCTTTGGAGTGCCATTCGTCTAAGGTAATAATTGACCGCAATTGGACAAAGCTAATCCCTAAACTCTGATTAGGTTGCTCTCTTTCATGGCCACAGAACTCTTGCTAAACTAATCTCAAATCTAATCCGTGGTTAATTGACTCAATTACCTGGGGGTGTGAGATGACGCGGCAACAGGTGGGCCCTGTTTCACCTGCCCCAGCATGAGGGAATGAAAGAGACGGCCTCGTGGAGGAATTTGATTGGCCCAAAACCCCCCAGAATAATTAGGTCGCGTGGAGTTAGGTTAAGGCAAAGGTCAAGGATAACACGAACAGATTTTATTTGATAAAGAAACATGATATGGAAAAAACCCTGCCCCCTCATATTATTGTATACGTCTTTTCAACACACACACACACACACACACTCTTCAGTGGTTATCATTCTGATCATCA